TTATTACGCGGTCTCAGAGAAGCTATAGGAACACTGGGCTATCTGATGACAAAGTCCATGTCTTTTCACCATACTGCTTGTGACAGTCACTAACAAAGATGGCGGGCTGATAAAACTTTAAGGAGAGAGTACGGAGCAGGAAGAACACCGTGTAAAGAATGTTCAAAGTTGAGAAAACTCTTAAAGGCTATATACATAGCTATGACTACTATCAAATTAAAGGTAAATCAGAAAGCAAAGATCTAAGCACAGTGGAAGTTCACGATGCGCCTTCTTAGGGACTTCCTCTCCTTACCCTGGCCGCCCAAGTTCACGGATCTTCACTTACACAAATGAAGACTGGGCTGCAAAGCACTGGATAAAAATCAAAGACATTTCTCATCACGTAGGAAAATAAAGCCAGAACCAGACTTCAAAAAGATTAATAAAAATGATCAAATAAGGCTAGAGATAAAAGCAAAACCTATACCTTACTTTTTATAAAGATGTTTTAAAAGATGTTTACAAAGATAATTGGTAGAATAATTAATGTTATTGACTAATCTGATCCACTAAGCGATTAAAAGGAAAATTAAATTTTGTTGAAAATAATAAAAATGATAGGAGAGCAAACAAGACAAGTCTTATCCCTCTCCCCTCTCTCTCCCTGCCGGCTTGCTTGCAGTGTCTCATCCACACCATACTCTCGTCAAACGTGCATTCATTTACTAACTCACCAAAACCGCTGGGCACTTACCACGTGCCAAGCATCGTGCTAGGTGATGGGATGTGTCGTAAACATATACCCTTTGCTTTCCAGAAGCTCACATATTCTTGTAAAAGAGGCAGACATTCGACAGATAGCCACAAAAAGTATTAAATACAGTCATGGTAAGGGAAAGTGCCGGTCGGAGAAAGTGCGGGGTGCTATGTCAGTATCTAGCAGTCTAAGGCATTCTGGAAGGTTGAGAAAGGTTGGAAATGTTTAAATTGAGGCCTGAAGCTTGTGCAGCAGCTCTGTGAAACAATATTGTATACACTCGAAGTGACGTTAGTGAGGGAGAAACTGGCATATGAAGGTGATGAGGGATATGATTAGGGTAACTCTCAGAAAATGTCATTAGCAGCTGAGTAGATGGTGATAACATTTATTGGAAAAGAGAACTCTAGAATATAAAGAGGTCAGTGAGTAAGAGAATGGACATTTGAGTTGAAGTACTTATGAGACAGATAATAGAGTGGTGATGAGCAATAGGCAGTTAGACATAGAGGTTTGAAGCTCAGAACAAAAACCGGGCTGTGGGTAAACATTTTAGATTCTCAGTATATATAATCAAAGTCATGTGTGAAGATCAGATAAATCACTTAGGGGTAATACAGTGCAGAAGCAAGGTCAGTACCAAGCACTTAGAGGACAGAAGGAGGGAAATAAAGCAACTGCAAAGAATGAAAACCAGGCAAGTTCAGTAACAGAAGACAGAAAAAAGAATATTTCAAGGGGAAAGCTGTGAAATGCTGAGATCAAGTGAGATGCAAATATTACTCTGACTTAGAACATTTTTCCTCTGGGGCTGGTTAAATTTATAGTCTTCCTTCAGGGTTCATCTGGGTTATCTCTTCCAGCCAGCATTGCCAGAATTCCTAATTCTGACATATGTACCCATCCTATGTGCATCCTGTACATATTCCCATCATAGCATTTATCATTCTGCGTTATAATTGCCTATTTACTTGTCCATTTCTCCACCATAATTCAAACGTGTCGAGTATATGAAGAAGCAAGACTGTGGGTCTGGTTCAACGCTATCTCTCTCAAATATGGTCTTTCTCATATTTGTCTCCCATCCTTTCCATAGCTATGAGCGGAGTACCTGACAACAAAGGTTAGTACTCAGCAAATCACTGTTGACATTTATTTATTTAGTACCTAGTATATGCCCAAAACGCTAAGCTGGATATAATGGGGGAAATAAAGCATTCATGAGTCAGACAAGAACTCTACCTTCAAAGAGTTGCTTTTCTGATCATAGGCAGCTAAACTTAAATGAACAAGAAAGAATAAAGCATATTTCTTACCATGTCAGTAGTCATCACTTTGGCTACAATATGTGTTATAGTCTTTCCAAAGTCTCTTTTTCCTTTCCTACGCCTCAGAATTCTTGGAAAGAAAGGTCCGTGAACTCTAGAGTTGAAAACATTCATGATTAAATTAACATGAAAAAGATTCAACCTACGCTTACCTAGAAAATAAACACTTGGCACTAAGCATCTTTGAGAAATGGGTTTCACTAATTTTAAGTTTCTTAAGAGCAATGAGAAACAAGAACAATGAACGATTAAAATATTTTAGATAACCGAGTGTTTAAACCCTTGAACTCTAAAATCTTTTCATTTTAATGGTTTGTTCCTGAAATCTGCATGCAACCCACTACGATTAATACCTCAATCACCTCAACTTTTCAGTGCAGTAGAAAAGTTTCCTAATTGGACTTTCACAATCCGCTGAATTGTAGACTCCCACAAAGCAGAGGCAGGTTATGTCTGTGATGCTGAGTGTGATGCTGGGGCTGGCATTGGCCTCAATGACCACTTTGTCAAGCTCGCTTCCTGGTTTGACAGTGAGTTTGGCTACAGCGACAGGGTTGTGGACTTTAGGGTCCACATGCCCTCCAAGGAGTAAGAGCCCCCTGGACCACCAGCCCCAATGAGAGGAAGAAAAGCCCTCAGCTACGGGGGAGTCCTTACCCCAAGTCGATTCCCAACACCCTGAGAATCTCCTGACCTCCAGTTTCCACCCCAGAAACGCTGAAGAAGGGGAGGGGCGCCCTACCTTGTAATGCACTATCAATAAAGTTCACTATACCCGCCCCCCCAAAAAAGAATGTTTTGCAACATGCCTAATTTTAGATACTATGTTCGGTTAACACACTATTTCCTTTCAAAAGATACGCCTCTGGTCTCCCTAGAGCTAGCTGGCTCTTGGCCTCCCAGGAAGAACAATTCCAGCTTCTCTCCTAGTCATTTTTATATTGTTTGCTGTTCAGCACTTCTAATTAATTCTATTCTTTCTCTTTGTCTGATTTTCTTGACAGTTCCTGTTTCCTATCTCTTAATCATTTAAGTGTCATCAAAAGAAAGAAGACTTTGAGGATAACTTTTATCGTAACCCTCTGTCCGCCAAAGGGACACCTTTCCCAACAATGCCGACTTAGCATTAATCTTAGGTGTAAACTTTTGGTTCCTCTGTAGCACTTTGATTATTGTTTGATGCTAATGAGATGCAGCTTTAGTACCAATGTTTTTCAGCTGATATTTCAATTGTCAAATATTTTTGTGAAGCTCAAAATTTCAGGAAACCAGTTCTAAGAATTTACTGAGCAAGTTATTAAAATTTTAATATCATAATAGCAACATCCTTCAAAGCAAGTTTCCTTTAACATTTCAAAATCAAACCCACTCCGCATTTTTATACCTATTTAAGCAAGTGGTTTTGATATTGAAGAGAGAACTACTCAGAACATTTTTTTCACCATATACCCGATTACTAGCTGTTCAAAGAGTAAAGCATCCTACGTTCGGGAAATAACAGTTTATCATGCAATGCTAGTTTTTAAATCAAAAGTGTATATCAGTATTTTTAATCAGATTTATAAAGGTATAATTTATATAACAGACATTCAGATTTTAAGTGAACCATGTCATGAGATTTTACAAATGTATACACCCATTAAACTCAGTCACGACGATCGAGACACAGAACATTCCCGTCACACTTGGTGTTGTGTCTAAAAACTCATTGCCAAAGCCACGCTCGCCTAGGTTTTCTCCTGTGTTTCATTCTAGACGTCTAGTAGTCTAGTTTTACGTTTAGGCCTATGGATCACTCTGAGTTAACTTACGTGAAAGCTTTTTTCTTGTCGTAAGGATGGTAATGATAACTCACAAGCTCTTTAGGTGTCAGAGCTGGATCTGGAAATCCTTGGTTCTTTTCTGTAGTTTCCATTTCTCTGCTGAGATTTTCCATTTACTTGTTAACACCTAAATTTTCCTTTATTCTGTAATCATGTTTTCCTTTAATTCTTTGGACGTATTTATAACAGAAACTTTGAAGTTTCTGTCTGATACTTCCAACATCCGGGCCCACTCAAAATCAGTTTCTATTAACCGTCATTTTTCCCGAGTATGGATCTAATGTTATGGTTTCTTTGCTTGTCTATGGATTTTTGGTTGAATACTGAAGATTTGGATAATCTATTTTGGTAACTCTGGACTGTGTTATGTTCTTCGGGGGGCTGCTAGCCTTGTGTTCTACCAGGCAGTGAACTTTCCTGATCTCACAATGTAGACTGTTTCCCTTGAGGTGTGCAGCAGCTGGCATCTCTGCTCAGTCCTCTCAGCTCCCAGGCTCCTCCTTGGAGCCTGGTTCCCAGATCTCTCCGCCCCAGCAGTGCGAGCAGCGCTGAGTGGTTAGCCAGGGATCTGGGCAGAGCGTCTGCTCCAGCTTTGGATTCCCCCATTTGCAGCTTTTACTTTCAGGATATTCCACCTTCATTCCCAGCTGCTCTTGACGGCACTGAACTCTGTCCTTTGTCATTTTGAATCGGACTGTATTTTTTTGCTGCCAAAGCTACAAGAATTGGTGATTACCCGCAGGCCAAAAGGCCACAAATTCCCATTTCTTACCCATTCCCAGGAGAAATCCATTTCAAGAATAAACGTTTATGGTTACTGCCTGCTTTTAGTCATTTCATAGTGCCTTCAAAGAGTTGAATACTTTTAATATATTTTGTCTGGATTTTATAATTGTTATCTATCGAAGGATTTGACCAATTAACTCACTCCACCATTCCCAGAACCTGATGCTGTGTAATTATAACTTTTAAGATGAGAGAACTCTGTTACCCTATGCCATTAGAATCTAAAGTCTAGATTCAACTTTTGTTGAATATGCATTTCTAGATTAGTATAATTCAAGAATCTTATCTATATTGATTTCCCAAAACCCCAAGGTTTTGTGACACAGGAATCCCAATAACAAGGAAACATCAAAAGTAAGCCCTAGAATGGGATTCTTGGTGATTAAAAAAAATAGGTCAAATTTGAAAGAAAATACAAAAAGAAAAGATTTAGGCTAACAGTTAATAGTTAGATATGTAAAATGTGGCTCAGAATTCCTAAGGCAAAGAATGAGTAAAGGTAGAACACAAAAGGAGTTTAACAATTAAATATAAGATAGTGAGAAGTCCTTTGACTGCATTCAAGATTTTTCATTAATTTTGGGGCACATGAACAAGAATTCCTGTTTCCCCTTTATTTAAAACAAAGACAGAAATATAAATATATTTTACTGCACAGAGTGTAAAAACATTTTAATATATTTTGAAGTATCCTGCAGAAGGATGCTGGTTTAATCTATATTGTTTTATTTATCATCGAAAACAACTTATCAACTTATGTTGGTTAGAAAAGCAGAAATTATGAGGCAGCCAAATTAGTCAATTCTCTCTTTACTTTACATATTATATGTGCAAGAGGTCTGTCTCCTTTCTTATGCTTTGGCCAAAATCAAAAGAGTAAAGATAAAAGATAAGGACTAGATGTATAAGGTTTTTTCATCAGAAAAACTCTGCAATAATTTCAGTCAATTCAGATAATAGAAAAATAATTATCCAATATTGGTAGTTGCACCTTGTGCTTATCTCATAAATCGGGTATCTAACTTTATAATCATTTCAATCAGGGTAACATATATAAGTTAAGCGATATGATAAAAGAATGTTTCTATTTAAAATAGAGCAAATTATTACCGGAGGCGTAAATCTTCCCACATTTTCAGTAATCCACAGAGCATTACTATCTCATAGTATTTTTTCCAGCATTCAACAGCCTCTGCTGCAGAGGGATCTTCTTTAATATTGCTCTGATACTCAATGAGCTCGACACGCTTGTTTTTATATTTCTCCAAAGTTTTTTTGAAACGTTGTGCAATGGGACCAGGTATTGTTCCATCTTGTATATCACACCACCTGAAAAGTATCAATACAGTTATAACCTTTATCTTACATAATGTGCTCAATAAGTTTCTAACTATACTTACAAATTAATTCTTTCTTCAATCAAAGCAGTATAATTCTCACAACTTTCTTCATCATCCCAGTCTCTCCAAAGAAAGTCATAAAAAAACCTATGATGAATCCAATTAAGATGAACATGATCAAAAACAGAGAGTAGCATGTTTAGAATTAAAAAGACATTCTGATGTCAGAATTTTTTACGTGAATCTTAATTATTAAGAAAAATATTTTTAAATGAGCTTTCAGTGAATTAATATTAAAGGTAAACTTTACAAATTTGATTATTTGGATTCTGTTTTAGGTTCCTGCAGATAATGTTTCTCGAATTGGAACTAAATTTCAAGTTTCAGATTTCATAGATTTTTGGTGATTATTTTGTTCACCAAAAAAATAATGCTTAAGAATATAATCAAATTTGCACATCAAGGGAAGGAAAGCATTAGAAAACAAACATGCGCCAGAATATTCTGTACTAAGTTTATGGATAGCAATCATGATGTAACTGATGACATCTAGTATTTGTAATGTCCTTAAATGTGAAAAATGAAATCTAATATATTTCAGATGCTTAAATATGAACAGAATTTGATATTATTTATCTCTAGAATTTTTTAATTCAATTTTTGTAAAATGCAAGATTGAAAAATAGCAAACTTTTCATTGCCCATATAAATTCTTCACAAGAGAATATTTTAATTAAAGAAGTTACAAATATATTCATTAAAAATGGACAGATTGAATTCAGCAGTGAGTAAAAATTACATCAATATTCATAAATGCTTGTATAAACAAAACTTACGTATTAAATTTTTGAATACAATCATTATAACTTTCAGAAGTACAAAGCTCTATTACCTTACGACTTCCAAGGCCAAAGCAATGTCCTGTATGTCGGACCCTTGTCCTTCAACAGGGTACACCTCCAGGAGAGGCACGCTGTGCTCTAGTTCTTCTAGAATCTCGTCCACCAAACTCCTTGGGATGTTTGCAATGTTAGAAGAAAAAGGCTCCGCAACGGAAACAGTAACTTTGAAACAAGACGATGAGCTTTGGTGTGGTTTACAAGTTACCTAAAATAAATATAAAATTTATAATTACAAACGAAAGCAAATAAACTACAAGGATCTTTCTCATATATGAGCTACTTATAAAATTCTTTTAAATTTTTATGACTTCTCTAACCAATCCATAGAATATAGATCAATATTAAATACCAACACAATTTTTTCTTAAACACATTAGTTTTTAAGTTCAGGAGAGGAATCGTATATCTCCATTATTTATTTCTAAGTTTGAGTTGCCAGACTTTTGGATTTTATAGAAGAGTAGTGTTTTAAAAGGTTTTTTTGGACTAATTTTGCCATGAAAAGACATAATCGAACTATAAATCTTTAAGTTGAAAATATTTAGCTTTATAAACAATACTATGTTGTGTTTACTTGGCTCATTTCATCACAGTATAGTGATAAGCTCCAGCACTTCCCTGAAAATCAGTGCTTGAGAACCATTGTTTTTAAAATTAATAAATTATATTAAATATTAACACAAAATTAAAAATTAATAAGTTGGTAAAAGGGTACCAACTTTTAGTTATAAGATAAATAAGGTCTGAGGATCTAATGTATAGCATAGTGACTGTGGCTGATAACATCGTATTGTATAATTGAAATTTGCTAAGAAAGAAATGTTCTCACAGAAAAAAAAAAGTAAATATGTGAAGTGATTAACTAACTCCATATGGGGAATTCTTTCACAATGTATACATTTATCAAATCATCACATTGTCCACTTTACAGATCATACAAGTTGTCAACTATACTTCAATAAAGCTGAAAAAATTAACATTTCCAAAAACAACTTTAAAAATTTTCAAGTACATGTCCAATAAAATTATTTTTAGGTAGAGTTTATTTACCTAAAGCTACTCATAGCAGCTTTATTCATAACTGCCCCAAACCTGGAAGCAACAAAGATGTCCTTTGTAGGTAAACAGATAAACTGGTGCATCCAGACAATGGAATGTTATTCAGTGCCAAAAAGAAATGAGCCATTAAGCCATGAAAAGATATAGAGAAACCTTAAACGCACATTACTAAGTAAAGAAGTCAATCTGAAAAGGCTACATACTCTATGATTTCAACTACATGACATTCTGAAAAGGCAAAACTATGGAGACAGTAAAAAAAAAAATAACCAGTGGTTGCCAGAGGTTGGCGGTGGCAGAGCACAGAGGGTGTTTGGGGCAGTGAAAATACTCTGTACGTTATAATGACGGATATATGACCCACGACACCAAGCGTGAACCCTAATGTAAACTACAGGCTTTGGGTGATGTGTCAATGTTCAAGGCTCGTCAGCTGTGACAAATGTAGCACTCTGGCGGGATGTCGATAATGGGAGAGGCTGTGTATGTGTGAGGGCTGAGGGTGTCTGGGACATCTGTGCCGTCCTCTTAGTTATACGGTGAACCTGATTCCAATATGTTGTATTAAATATTAACACAAACACTTCCAATCGTCGATTTTGAAAAATTTCAAGTACGTGTCTAATAAAAGTCCTTATTTTTAGATAGAGTTAGGTAAAAAAACATTTTAAGTATGAGCAAGTGTTATAGCATCTATATATATATGTATCTATAGATAGATACATATATGAATAATCATTTAAATATAGGAAGCATCTTCAATTCACTAACCAAACTTTGAAGTACAAATTTTATAATCTACTTAATATCAATTGTATTTTTCAAAGAAGTTATGGGACAGAAAAAAGTAGGAAAATAGAATAATGGTTTAAAACTAGATGTTTGAATATAATAAGTGATCTTCAACCCACATTTGTGACAGAACAAAAATATATTTCCAAAAAGTAGGTATAAAATTTGAACCTTATATTTAAAATTTTTAGTTTTAGTGTTTTAAGTCAGTATTATACATGCATATAGTTTAGAATCAAATGGCGACAGTGGATTTGTTTTGAGAAGTAGAATTCCTTGACAATCTCCCGCCACACTCTAATTCTTGTTCTTAGGGGGCAAACATTTTTAATTCTCTTGGCTGGTTATTTTGACATTCACCTCTTCATTTTTTAAATTTTATTTTTAGTTTCAAGTATACAGTACATTGGTTAAACATTTATAAAATATAGTTTATAAAACGATCCCCCTAATTGCTCTTTCTCTCCTCTGGCTCTCCACTTAGCCATTGCATTAATGCTGACTGCATTCCCTGTGCCATGATTCCTGGCCCTGTGACCATCTATCAACTACTAATGTGTATTCTTTAACCCTTCATGCCTTTCCCCCAGCCTTCTCCCCTCTGGCCAACCTCTTATTTTTAACTAATGTTCTTATATTGCCATTTATAGTTTTCATTTGCTTCAGTTTTTGGCATTATATATTGACTTCTTAATCTGAAAGTAAGAATTTAGTTGTCTCTTTCATTTCTTCCTATCCCCATCAAATACCTATGCTCTCCTGGTCCTTCATCCACCAATATAGTTACATCTTAGTATTCAGCATTTACCTTAATATATTTGAAAATGCTCTATCATGTAAGCTGATTAGTTTTCTTTCCTGAATGAACTTGTTTTCTCAGGAGTCAATCATTGTATTGCTTTTCATTTGCTCAGTTTTCTATGTGCCTTTCATGAATTTAACTCCAAATTCTCTAAGTCATGTAAATCTCCTTTCAATGTGTTCAAAATACAGTCGGTTGTGTTGGAAATGAAATACCGGTTTCATTTTCTTGAAGCACTCTTTTCCAGAAGTCTCTGACTAATCTGAACTGGCTCTCTAGTTCTAATCTGAACTGGCTCTCTAAGCCTGCTACACACATAGCTGTTACCTCTTTACCATCATACTGGAAGTGCCTTTGCTTTTCTCTTATGTTGGCCTTTCTGTATTTTGGATCTGATGTCTCCATATTACTTCCTTCCTTGACTGAAGATGACATCCATTAACTTCCTGAGAGGGGTACACTGGGTGTAACTTTTGAGATCTCACATAATTGAAAGTATCTTTTTTCTGCTCTTATGTTCTGCCCAGGCTCTTTCCGTGCGTGCTCCACATAGCAGAGTATTTGTCTTTTCTTTTGAGCTGATCATAGAAAAGTCTTCCAACTCTCATGCCTGAGGGATATGCCTTAGCTGCCTGTGTTCTAGAAGCAGAGTCAGGGTGAAAGGCAGAGGATTCCAACGTTCATTATCAGTAAACTTTCTTATTCCCTTCCCAATGGGATAGTCCCTTTCCCACCCATGCGTCTCAAGCCAGCTTCTTAAATCTGTAGGCTGACTTCTGTTGCTAAATTTGGGAAATAGCCATATTTCTTTGACTATTTTTTCAGCCCCACCTTTTCTTCTCTCGTTCTGGAACTCAGAAGACAAGAATGTTAGGTTTCTGTTATAGTCCAACGCATCGCTGAGGCTCTGTTCTTTTTCAGTCTATTTTCTCTCTGGGGTTCAATAAAGTAATCTCTATTTCTATCTTCAAATCCATTGATTGTCTCCCCGGACTTCATTCTGCTGTTGAGCACATCCACTGAGTTTATTTCAGTTATTGTACTTTTTTACTTCTAAAACTTTGGTTTTTCTTTATGTGTTTTCATTTATTTGCAGCGACTGTCTATCTCTTTGCTGAGATTGTAATTTCATGTTTCACATGCATTTATAATTGCTCATCGGTGTACTTTTTGATGGCTGCTTTAAAATCCTTGTCAGATAATCTAACATCTGTGCCATCTCAGTGTTGGTGTCTGTTCTTTAATTCCATTCAAGTTAACATCTTCCCGGCTCTTAGACATGGGTGAGAGTGATGGCAAGTGATTTTTCTATTGAAACTTGGACATTTTGAGTATTATGGTTTGAGATCTTTGATCTTATTTAAATCTGTCGGTCCTCTTCTGACATCAGTCTGGCACGGAAAGGGGGTTGCCACCTCGGCACTGCCAGATGCGGGCGAAGTCCAGATTCTCCGCTAGACCTTTGCTGACTCCCCCCTTGCAGGGGGCGGAAGGATCTCTCCGTACTGGTAGATGGCTGTCCAGGCTTCCGTTTAGTCCACATTGACACCAACGCCGGGTAGGCGACGTTCCTTCCCACCCAGCTTCCGTTTCCTTCCCACTAGGTCTCCCTACCACCACTTTGGCAGTGGGGTTCGTGTGCTTTGATACAACTTGGAGAGGGTAAGCTCTGTGATTGAATATATGCCGCTCTTTATCTGTAAAAATACCACTTACTTCTCCACCCGACATAGAACTGAATTGTTTTCAGGCAGTGTGCACTGTAATGAGTTTCTACCACAAGTTTTTCTTGTGACCCAAACTTGTGATTGTAAATGTTAATTTCTATACAAGGATAATTGACTTTTAAGGGAGTCAAATTTATGACTTCAGAGATGCCACAATATTTAACCTACAGACATAAAAAGCAAAATCTTATCAGATGAAGGTTTGGAAGTTGATGTATTAAATACATATTATATTTTTTCATAGGAAAAAAATCTTAATTTTATTGAGTTTTCTGATCCATTTTTTTCTTTCCTAATCTGATTAAGTCTCATAATTCAGATAAGTGACAATTAAAGGAAAATGACAGAAAAGGAAGGCCCAAATTTGTTAAAGCCAAAATTACTAATTTTTAAGAAATGTACGTTTGTTATTTTTATGTTATTTGAACAGTTGAAACTCGGCCTATAAATACTGTCTGATAGTAGATTCCGTTTGCTGATAACTCTTTCCAGGTAAATGGGTGTTAATATCCGTCCTTTGCCTTCTTTTTACACTAATTTGCTTAGAAACTTAAAGTAGAAGTAAACTTTTATCAACCTCTGTTTAAGTATCAAAGCTCCAAATTAATAAGGTTATAATTTGGTCTTAAAAAGAACTAATCATTTCACTCAAAAGATAAGGTAAAAATTATTCACCTCAACCAGTATACCAACAAAAGGGATAGAAGCTTCTTCATATTTCACAAAGAATAACTCAGGATTAGTTTTCCAGACTCCAAGCCATTTGTCTTTTAACTTTAATTTTTCTGATAGGTATTTACTCATAGCCTCATCAGCATCTTCTGCCTAGCAAAAGAAAAAAAAATACGTATATAAAATATATGAACTTCTAATTTATATTTATTTTTACAGATTTCTGTTTAAATATGGAACCAATATACCCTAAATAATGAAAAACCTGGAAAATAATAGATTTTAACTGAACCTATATTTAATGTAAAATGTCATAAACATTAAAAAATTAAAAGATCTATTCAGTCAGTAATTCAGAGATAAGATATCTACTTATTTATTTTTTAAGTAATTTGTTTTATTAATCCACTGAGCAGAAAGAACTATAATTATACATAGACAAAGTAATTATCATATTTAAAAGCATAGTAATTGTTTTTTCTGAACTTTAAAGATATAATGACCCATTTAAAATGTATTCAGTACATAAAAATTAAAATACCATTCCATTCTGTAAAACAAATGAGCATATTAAACATTCAATAAATATTTGCCCATTTGACTTTTCAAATTTAAATTCAGCCACCTCAAGGATGATAAATAATCTAAGCTCTTATGAAACTCAATCATTAGAACCCTTGATTAATGACATAATTTATATGTCAATAGCATTTTTCAATAGCTTTAAGAGACCTAGCTTTCTCCAACCCTTGATATCAGATAAGTTGGCCATTAGTCCTAATTTTATGGTAATTGTTTTTAAAAATATTTTTTTTTTGATTAGGAAATATGGTTAAGCTACAGAAAAACCTGACAAATGCAGAAAATGTAAGGAAAACAAAATCACCCTTAATCCTGGCAGCCAGTATATAATCATTGTTGATATTTTGGTGGATTTCCTTCCATTGTTTTTTCTATATATGAATTATGTTTTGACTCTTGATTTTTTTTACCTTAATATTATAGCAAAGCATAGCTGCAGTTCTTGAAAACATAATTTTTCAGCTGCATGCATGGTTTTTCATTATGTGAATTCACCACAAGTTCTTTACTGCCCCTGTGGTTGGAAATTTAGCTTCTAATTTTTAACTTTTATAAATCTCTCTGCATGACTATCCTAGTACATAAATATTCCATAACTTAAAAAAATAGGCTAGAAACATACAATATTAGCTCTATTCAGTGTTACCAGGTACAGTATTTATCTTATATACAAAACATCATTCCATGCCCTCGACTGATGTCTGGGGACCATTCTTAGGGTGTAAACATTTTTAGCGTCGCAGCCAAAGTCAAGGCTAAGGAATCTTATCCTTACGTTCGGGCAAGGATTATTAAATGAAAAAGCTAAGATGTGTCCCTAGACCTTGATAAGGCCTGTCTGTCTTCAGTTCTTGGAAAACCAGAAAAAATACTATCAGAGTTGCCCCATTAACTGACAAATTTTCCGTTCCGGGGAAATCAAATTGTAACTCCTTTAGGACAGGGCCCGAGCACACCTGGTAAGGCGGAAGCCCTTTACATGGTGAATAAGTTTGATTTTTTGAAACGCAGGTTTTCTCTGTGCCCTCTGTACCACCATCGCGCTGAGAGTTCGACCCGAACTCCCCCGCCGACCCCCTTACACGGGTCCTGCCCTGGATTCCGGTCAGTTTTCTTCTCGTTCTCACCTTACAGCTCTGCAGCACCTCGTCGCAATACAACGCCACCTTCTCGTCCCGCCACATGCCCCTCATGGGGGACACGCAGACTGGGGGCAGTGGCTGCGCCTCCTCCTCCTCCTCCTCCTCTTCCTCCTCCTCCGGCACGGACAGAAGGGGCTCGTCTTCCTCCTCCGCGGCCCCCTCGCCCTGGCCCTCGTCCTCAGACACGGGTTGGAGCTGGAGCTGGAGCCGCCGCCGGGCCGCCTCCCGGCCCGCCTTCCCCTTCACGGGTCGAGGGGAGGCCACCACCGATCGCACTGGGGACATGCCGCTCTTCAGGGTCCCCGACGCCGCCAGTTCCCCCGTGGGAGCGAAAACAACCTTCTCGCCCGACCTGCCGGGACTGAGGGTTCGGACTGAGTCCTCGGGCACCGTGACTCTGAACTCCGACGCCATCGCCCTAGCACCCCGAGGGCCAGCTGCGGCCGTTAGCCACCTTTCCCGCCCTGCGCCGCGCTGGCCAATGGGCGAGCTGCGCCCTCAGAGCGGGCAACGAGCGAGGTGGCTCGAGGGGTCCCGCTGGGGGGTGAGTTGGGAATGGGGTGTTGGGGTGGGTCCAGGTATTGGGGACGCCTAGAGATGTTGTGGGTCGAGGCTTAGGGCGGGGTGCGACAGGGCGGGGCGTGAGAGCGGAGCGGGGTGGAGGGGACCTTTCCAAGCAAGGTGTTAGGGACGCGGCGTGACGACGAGGGGCGGAGTTTGGGGCGCAGCGTGATTTCGAGGGGCGGGGCTTGGGCGCTTGATGTTACGAGGTGTGGTACAATGAGGGGTGGGGCGGGGCGAGATGATGGAGAGTGTTGAATTGAGTGGGGCGCCCCCAATAGGTGGTGCCCACACCCAGAGGCTGGCTCCACCCCCACTTCTCTCGGAGTAATCCAGTGACAGAATTCTCACTCCAAGGCAGGATTGTTTAGGGTCCTCATACATTTTCTGGGTCATTGTGAGTCACCCTTCAGATCATCATGACTTAACAAATGCGCCACCTCCCACTCCACACATACCTCTCCGCACAAACACAGCCCGAAAGAAAATTTATTTGTATATCGGGAGGCGATAGTAACTGGAACCGCCTGGTTATTACTAGCGGAAACCCTAGTGACAAATTCAGCCATCTAGATTTTCCCCCCAACCTATTCACACAGTTCCCAAAATAAAATTTCCTTTACATTTTAAACAAGTCACTTTCTGCCAAGAAGGATAGGTTAGTTTATTTTCATATTTCTCTTGTGCTGATCAAAATTCTCACATAAAAGGTTATGTAACTGTTTAACTGGATGCACATTTCCAGCTAAGGAGTAATGTGTGCAAACTATGAACCCTTTCACAGTAAAAGTTTGCTCAAGATATTACATTTTGGAAAAGAACAGAGACCACTCACTTCTGTTATTTTACTCTTGAACGCACATTTTGCCAATTGGCATAACTTTTGTTTACCGTCTAGCTGGGAAGTCTTGCGCTGGGGCTGACAGCTCCCACAGAGAACAGCGCTGGGAAAACACCTGCCTTGCTTCATGCTCATCTGGAAGGACATTGTGTTAAATTGGGAGTTTATTTTGAGGAAAATACTAGTATTAATTTCATGGTGCTGTAGTTGGGAGAATAATTACAACATTCACCATGTTTTGACTCTAAAGTTTCTTTCCTTTTGTCAGGAGTCCTGGATTTTGTTGAAAATGATACCTAGCTATAGATTTCACTCATCAAAGGTACAAATCTATTACTCTAGCCTTTCTTCAAAAAGTTTGTTTTTTAATAAATTGCGGGGTTTTTATTCTTAGGTTAAGAATAATAGGGATCACTTGTCCCAGTGAAAAGTTCAAAAACAACTCCCCCTCCAAGAAAAATAGCAAATAATAATTATTGGCTAGAGACCTGCTATGTGCTAGGCAGTCCGTAGATGCCAAAGTTGCAGAAGTAAAAGACAAAATTCATATCCTCATAATCCTAGTGAAGGATGCAGATAGCTCAGTAGATGATGGTGTTTGGTAAGGACCATGATAAATTTTATATGTGGGGTGTGTGTGTGTGTGTGTGTGTGTATTATATATATATGGTAAAGTGTACATGTATATATACACTTTAATCCACATTGTGGGGAAAAATGGACCTTTCTTCCCAGAAGAAGTGATACTTAAGTTGTCAAATGTCTTCCAAAAAGAGTGTGTTAATTTCTACTCTAGTTAGCAGATAAACTCCCTTTCTGCACCTAAGGCACAAGGAAGGATGGAGCTAACATTCCAACCCAGCGAGGAGTCAGTGGTGGTTTTACAGAGGGGCGAAAGAACTTGGTCTGGGTAGTTGGTACAGCTGGAATCGAGGGACCAGATAGGGACGAAACCTCAGATTGAAGAGACATGCAAAAGCTATATCACAGAGGGTCATGTGTATTCTGCATATAAGGAGTGAATTCTAGCGCTGATAAACTCTCCCTTATCCAGCTTTCTATTCCACTCTCTGATCCAGCTGCTGCCAGTGTATGTTGGCCGCTCCTTACGTTACCTCATCCTCCCTTAGCAGACCGGGTACTTCTCTTGCTGGGTTATGTTGTGTCTTAACCCTACTTATTGGACTTGGGGCCAGGAGGGAATATGGGGTAGATAATCAGGAGTGATGCATATGGTATTCCGAGGCAGAAGCCCACGCATCACCTCCAAGCACCAGGGTGACTCTGGCCTTTAATGGGGAGAAGTGATCTCAGAAAGTTCAGGGGAATCTGGGGATTCACTGTTTTTAAATCTGTCAACCAAAATGTCCCCATCCCAAGTCTCGGGATCTCACTCCTTCCCAGTCAGAGCCTGGCTTTGCTTCAGCAATCCTGCTCCAGCTGAGAACTTGGCCTTCCCGGGACACAGTTCCGCTTATGAAAGCCCGGAGCTCGCTCTCTGTGTTTCGGCGTACTTTGCATATGGTATTATAATACACTGAACACGCTTCACGTGCAGGGACAATGACATTCGCATTTTTTATCCCCAGTACTTAGCACAACCCTAGGCACATAACTAGTAGTTTTAAGAATTGCACTATTATGAAAGAACAATAAGTATTTTTTCCAGCTTCAATTCTGAAATGTGTATCTGTCCTTCTCATCCACTAGATTGTCACCTGCTTGATGCCCAGGATTAGGTTCTACTCATCTTTATTCCACTGCACAATTTATCGAGCAGGGTGTTCTCACATCGCCAGCTCTCAGTACACGTGTGCTAAATCCTATAGGTGAATACAAATACTCGTGTACTGTTATTCTCTTTGGGTTGGACTACCTGCGGGAGCGCTGGGTTAAATACGCATGCTGACTCCAATATACAGATGATCTAAATTACAAAAGCTTATTTAAAAAATAGAATTTCTTGTTTTCTATCAGAAAAAAAAAATATTTCCCATCAAAACATCTTTGCTTCCTGGGTCACCATGAAGCAGAAAGTAGGCTTGTAAATGCTTCCAACCCTGGAGTCCATCAACACTGTCTTTGAGATCTTTTTTTTCTTTTTGGATCTTACAGGGAAAGAACAAAGCTCTGATAAGTAGTAACTGTTGGCCCTCGGCGAAACAAAGAATAGATAAGGCTCACTGACATTTCAGAGATCCACCCACGCGCAGTTTCCTTGATTTCTCATTATCTAGAGTGCTGACGTGGGGTAGAGAACCAGGCAGATCCACGTGATATAACTATGAAGATACAATAGGGGCCAGAGTGTAGTAAAACCAGCTCTGGGATTGGGGGGATGTACTAGAGAGACAGAAGAGACCTGGAGGATTCTCCTTTTTTCCCTCCTAGTGAAGACTAACCTGACTTCAGGTGAAAAGTTGGGACTAGAATTAAGAGGAACTGAGTGATCCCATGAAGCAAAAGGTTTGGCCTTCCAGAGAGGAGAGAGAACAATTCATTCATTTTACAGATATGTATCGAGCACCTACTTTGTGCTGACAGGGTATTAGGGGCTGGGCATATAGCAAAATACACAGAAATCTCTGAGATTGCATTCTGGTTGGGGAGATAGGCCATAAACATGCTTGTTTGTTTGTTTCAGTAGGATTTCCAAGAGAAATGAAAACATATATCCACACAAAAATTTATACATGAATGTTCATAGCAGCATTCTTTATAATGGCCAAATATTCATCAGCCGATAAACAGAAAAAGGAAGTATAGTATATCCATACAACGGAATATTCAATGGCCATTGAAAGAAATGAAGGGCTGGTACATGCTACGACATGGAAAAACCTGGAAAACATGCTAAGTGAATGAAGTCAGTCACAAAAGCCCACATGACATATGATTTGATTTATAGGAAATGTCGAGAATAGGCAAATCTATAGAGGCAGGAAGTAGATCGGTGGTTGCCTAGGACTCGGGGCAGTGGGATGGTTTGAGGAGGAATGGGGGTTGACAGCTAATGGGTCTTTCAGGGGTGATGAGACTGTATTACAGTTAAAAGGTTGCGCAACTGAAAACAAACTAAAAATCATTGAATCATATGCCTCAAGTGGGTGAATTGTATGGACTACGAATTACACCTCGATTTGAAAAAGTAAAATTTATAGTACATTAAGTGCTGTAGAGAATGATAAAAATATGGGCAAGGTGTGAGCAGGGATGGGGAGTTTGGTAGGGTGGGGCTGGAGACGCGATTTTCATAGAGTAGGGAGGGTGGGTGACATTTGACTAAAGACATAAGGAGGTCAAGAGGAAAATCTTAGACTCTGACAGCTGCGAGGGAAGGAAGGTTTTTTTCCATCACACAGTCATTCCCAGAAGGCAGTTCAGGTGTAAGAAACACAGGTAGGTAAGGAATAACGGCAGTTTTGGAAAGTACTTAGTACTGCTAACATATTACTCCAGTAGCTCCCCACGTGATAAGAATTTTTAAAAGGCTCACATTGCTTAGAAAACACTAAATGAGCACATCTGGGGACTTAGGGATTTTAGAAGTTTTGTGTGGTGAAGGTTTGGTTTCTGTTGATTTGGAGGTGCACACAACAGGATGCTGCGAAATGTTTTGTTTTTCCTTTTGGTTTTCTCGGTTGAACAAGTAAATATTAATAAAACTCCAGTCAGCAATTTATTCCCAAATATTATAATTTTTATCTCTTAGAACACTAATCTTTCCCTCTTCCTTAACTCTTTGATGTCAACTTTGTAAACAGATATTCTGGTGGATGCATACTGAACAACTCTCTTGGAAAAGAGTGTTTCTCCTCATTTTGGCCACAAGAGGGAAGCAGAGAGCTTTTTGGCAGTTCGAAGGCCTCCATCCCAAAGGACTGGGTGGAGCCTGAGCGTATCTTTAGTGCCGCCAGCTCCAGCTCTGACTCAGAAGCAGGCTGCACAACACTTTGCTGAAGGACAAGTTCAGACACATTTCTCTAATGTCTAACACTCCTCGAACCTCAAACGTGATGTTCTGCTAAATCTTCAAACTTCGATAATGTGTACCAACTCCCTGTTACCTGTTTGGTATTGTTTCTGTTTTTAGCTCTTTTGAAGGTAAATACAGGATTTCAATTTTATTTTACATCA